GTCCGTGACTGGATCATCGTTCATCATTGGCTTTACGCTCGGAGGAGTTCAGACTAACTACTACGAGGCATACTGCGGTTATACCAATAACCGCGCACACCAGTGATTAGGTCCAGTCGGAATTGAAATGACTAGGGTTCTATATCAGCTTGCAGGAGGATCTGCGGCCAGGGAGTTGTCTTGCAGGGGGTGCGGTTGTCTGCAGAAATGCCAGTCTTGAGCTTACTGGTAGGTTGTCTGCACTGCGTGGTGTGTTTTGTTTCCCGAATGTTGTAAACTTGGGCTAGCAGTGAGTCTGTTGAGAGATATAACGGGATGCTCATGAGCGACCTTCAATAATAGAACAATAGGAGTGATCAATGTTCATACCCATTGAATTTCTCATTCTTTCCATATTAAGCCATTGATTGCCGAAGACCACTACAACGTAAATATATGCCATACTTGGGCACAAACAGCGCTACGTACTCATACATGTGCAACCTCCTTATAAGCTTTTTGCAATATTTCTTCATAGCTAAGTATTTTATATCATAACAGACACTATCCGTTACACGGAGCGAGGCATATCCTGTGCAAGATTGTTTGACGTCTACATATGACACAATGCCATTCAAGCAAAAGCTCCACATCATAGCTATGGTAGATTCTGAGAAACCACCAAGGAGATCGTAATCAAAGTAATGGTGTCCAATAATCTGTCACTATTTTTGCAGCTTGAAGAGCAATGTATCCTCCTTTATCCAGCAATCAATCTAACCCAATACCCTACTATCCTCCGAAACTTCGAGACATCTAGTCTCTTTATGATAACTGTGCTTTACATCAATACATAAACTATTATTTCTCATCCATCACAAGCCTGGGCATCAATACGTCAATATCACATTACAAACAATAACCACGATCCTCGATCATCCAAGCATTCAGATATCCATATCCAAGCAATCGTAACACCATTACCCCAATACCAACCACCAACCACTACTACTATTACACTCTTCCTCTAGCCCCAACAGGAACTAACTCCGAATACAGCCGCCTATGCAGATACCTAGTAGTTAACCAACAGCAACAATCAAGCCACACGCACATCCTCTTACACCCCTAATCCCGCACATACTCGGCCATATCTACAGCCATATTACCATACCTACCACACCCTCACCCTCACCACTACCAATTAACTTACATCTACCATCCTTCACCACTAGCCCTAGCCCAACCTAATCCCCCAAAAGTAAGCATATCATCATCATCATCATCATCACCCACGTGCCATCAAACCCGTCAGACGGACCGTAACCTACAGAGCTAATCACACCATTCCTCTGCCTCTATTGGCTACACTGCCTAACTACTACGATTTAGGCCGTTTCAAACTGATACATATCTATGTATGTACCTTCCTGACTAGGTTAACAGTCTGTGGTCGGAGATATATCGGGATTTATACCACATAGTAAACTGACTAGTTGGCTATCGGGAGGGAGCGGGTAGGCGGGTGGGTGGATGGGTGGATTCGTCATCTTTATGCATTCTAGAACGTTTAGTTTGTATTCTATGTCTTATGTGGGTAGATGGAGGGATGGGTGGAAGCATGTGAAGGAAGGAAGGAGGAGGTGGTGGTGGTGTGATATTCCTCGGTCCTGGGGAGGGTCTGCCGAGGTATTGATATTGGGGTGGTGTCAGCTTCTGGAGGGCTTGTTGGTTAGCTGGTTAGATTATGCATAAGTTGGGAATGGTTCTGCGGGGGTTGTTGTGTTGGGGTGGGATAGTTCTGAGTGCAGAAGAAATGGGGGCTGAGAAATGGGGATGGGGATGGGTGGTGTAGGGATGTGTTGATGTTGGATGGTGTGGTGGTGACAGTAATGGGGAGAGGGTGGGATGAGGGCATGTATACAAGATGACAGTTCTATTGACTCGTGTTAAAGATTACTTTGTGATTTGGTTATGTAGAATTGATATATAGGGGTTATTCGTGGATGCGATGATGGTATAGGGGCATTGTGGCTGAGTGTACATATAAAGTAGATAATGGGCAGTGCTTGGTAGACATAAACATACACAAGCATCTGGCATAATTGGCTTTAACGATTATCAATGCTTATACTCTACAATGAGTTCATTAAGTCGTCTAAAGTAGTGTCAAGAAATAATAGCACATGGGCCACTACTACTAATGGAATACACAATCTGCAAAACAACAATTGATAAGCTTAAAAACAAACACCAATCTAGTCACTGACAATGTCTTAACACCTTGCTTGTCAATTTACATTTTAATGTCTAACAGCAATACATTACTCCTCTGATCATCACGAGGGGTAAATCAGCAAGGGCACCATACCTAGGGGAGGAGGGGAGGTGGGAAAATTAAAGAGAAGATCCCCCTCACAGTACTACATACTGTCAATCTACTACTCTATACTATCACAGACACTGCTCTTAGCAATGATTATCATACCCCTCTCCAGAGTATCAAGGGATAGTTACTTCACACATTCACAACAATAGTCAGGTAGTAAGCAGAGTACTTCGTAATCTAGAATGAAACATATTCATCCCTGCCTAGATCCCGAGTCCGACACTAGTCTACTTGAACTAGAACTAGAACTAGAACTACGGAGTACACGGAAATGAGCAAAGCAGGCAGGAACCCAAGTTCCGGCGAGTTTTTCCTAAACATATCTTATAGGGTAGTGCAAACAAGTTCTTTTCTTTAATCTCAGGTAGATGGTTAGTTAGTTATACCCGGGCACTCCGATACCCACCACCACCACCGGCATCTCCCCAAACTCTCAAGTCTAGCCCATCATCCACACCAACCCACTCCTCCATCCTCCTCAATTGAACTAACTCAAACCAGAGCATACTTACTACACCCTACAAAGTAAATCGAACCAATCCCTAAGATCAGTGGCAAAACTCACGTAGATAGCTGATACCTGAACAAAAACGCGAAAGAAAATAAATAAAAACTTAGCTAGCTCAACTAACTAGAATGATAACTAAGTAGGTCCGTAGCTGATCAACATCCCGTTTCCGCGCACCCATTCATTCCTCAACCAATCCCAACTCACTTGTCCACGTACTAGTTAGTCTCAGCTTGAAAGTTAGTTTTACGTACCCCCGTTTCCCCCTTTTTCTTGCATTCACTATCATTTCATGAACCACTGTTTTTTCCTTGATTCCCAGACATCCGGTTGGTAGGATGAGGTGGGCGAAGGATCCGATTTGATTGCGAGCGAATCGATGGATGGATGGATGGTGTGGTGTGGTGTGGTGTGAGTGGGTGGGTGGAGTGCTTCGAGAAGGTTTTTCGAGGGATTCGATGGCTTCTTTTCTTTTCTTTTTCTTTTGATTTTCTGGTGGTGGGTGGGACGGAGTTATTTTAGGAGGACTGACTGATTTTTATGGATTAGGGACTTCTAGACTTCTCTTTCACTTATATGATTAGTACGGAATATTTGTTTGGTTTTGGGGAGAAGATGTCTGTAAGTAGCGATAGCTGTATAGGTATACATTGGCTGGCGATGGGTGTTGTGCATTCCAGTTCAATTGTTTGGTTATTCAGCAATTGGGTGGTGGTGTTTTAGACTTGTGCTATCATTATGTCGATACTAGTATTCCCGATGACTTTTCTGGAACCGGCTGTATTTACTTAGAGAAAGTTAGGTCCGGAAAGCGGTTCGTTTCCTTGACTTGCTTTGGGTTCGGGTTCTACTTTGTGTTTGAGTAGATTGTTGGTCGGAGAGGTCGTAGTACTTTGTTTGCTTGATTGGGAGGGTAGCTCATTTCGTAAAGAGTATCCTGTTTGTTTGGCTGGGAGTGGATAACATATACTAGTACAAAATGTAGGGTCTAGAGCGCGTGTTGATATGGGAGATTGTAGTATCCTAGTGACATGTATAGATGCCGGCGATAGGGTTGGTTCTCCATGTTCGGTTTCTTCGGTCAGGCATTTCTACAAAGGGTGTCTTCTGTCACAGTAGATGGGGGAGAATAATCTATTTTACCACTATCACTTCATAGTGATCTTTATAAGAGAAAGAACAAAATCGATTAGTTGAACCATGTGTATACTACAGTAGCCTCAATAGAAACTACGTCCCGTGGGATATACTCGCTACCGCAATATATATTTCAGCATCCAGGAATGTAGTGAATATACCACGACACCCACCCCATCACAGTCCCAACCAGACCCAGAGTCAGACTCTAGTATCTACAACTTACCCTCCCACTAACCACAAGCCCCCGATAAACCACGGAGTATAATCCGGACTCCGTGACGTAGCATCTGTATATCATCAGGAACCGACGGGAGCGAACCATGGAACCAACCGATATCTCGACCACGAACCCGACTGACAGATAGCTTTCCATGGTTAGCTGATTGGATGTACTACATCTTTACAAAATCCTGGACTACGACACCATCCATCGAGAATCAAGCCGAACGACACCTCTACGATGTATAAATCACTTTGTTGATGACGCGACGCGAAACGAACTACCGTATTTGGCGGGCTCCATCGCAGCTATTGCCACCAGGCTAAAGTAACTGCCGATGTCAGTGGAACTGCTCAAGTTAGGTCTAGGGTTAGGGAAGGGCATCGCACAACGCACAAACCAGGAAAAGAAAAGCGGAGCGCTGCGGTGGAGGGGAAAGATAGAAAAATTGAAGAAAAAGGAAAGGAAAAAGAAAAAAGTAGATGGAAATCTTGTCAGACGGAACTCCGGAGACCAACCCACAGATGGAGCAGCTTATCAGCTGGAAAGAGCGGGTTCATCATTGAGTGGGTCGCTTTCATTATCGAAATCTGCTCTTTCAAAAATTTTTCTTTGTCTTGGACCCGTGTCTTCTGCTTTGACACCGTATGCTTTGGAAACTTGTTGTTCATCCAAGAAGTTGTGGGACCTCTCATGACAGCAGACCATATTTTCGATGCCATGTGTAGAAAAGCGATGCCCAACCTGATGGTATCTAGAAGCGGTCAAGAAATCCTTCCACGGGGATCAAGATCAATCCCCAACGGCACCGAGACGGTGATGGTTGACATCCTTCACCGACTCCAGGGATGCCCGCCTAGGATATTCCAGACCGTTCGGAGATGGAGGGGCACTTAGTACGGAGCACTACTGCCTAATTACGTGACGGATGGACGGATCACGGGCGCCGCCGACCAGGGTCGATGCAAACCGCCAAAGTCCCAAAGTTGTCGGGACGATGAGCGCCAGCCGAGATAAGTAGACTTTTTCTTCCACTTCCAAGCCTGGGATGGCTGGCGACGCTTGCTAGTGTAAGGGCCGGGGTTTCGGGGAAGAGGTTCCTGATTTCCTGCAACGGTACCTGGTGGAGTTGGACGCGCCTGACTGGATCGTAGACGCCCTGTGGGAATTCAATTGAAGATTCATTAGCCATGGTTGTGGAATCCGGCGATCGACCCTTCGCGACGAAGCTGATCGACTGCATCTTTGGTGCAAAGGAGGAAATAGAACGGGTAGCTGCAGGGAAAAGAGCCAAATCGGAAAGCCAGAAGGGGTTTCCTTCGCATTTCAAGACTGGTTTTTGAGGTTTAGCCCCTTTTTTGTGTTCCAAAACGCGTGAGAAAATTCGAGTGATGATATCCAAGAGATTGGACCCCAAGCCCACCGAATCACCAAAGGTATGGAGGACACGCTCCCGCCGGAGAAAAGCGAGCCTGGATCGGAAATGATCGATCATGGTTGGGAGGATCGGTATGTACGGGAGTTTTGCACTATTGCCCCCCTCTCTTGACCCCGTGCGCCGGTCTAGGAAATCGATGCATGGTCCGTACGCAGGTGCTCGATATTGCCTGATAGATGAAACCCCAAGCGAGTTGTTCCCAAGTTATCGACACGCTTTCAACCAACTGGCATGTCGTCGTCAACATCTCGCGTCGTTCCTGAACCTGCAAGCTCATAACATCCTTCCATGAGATACAGGACAAGTTGAGGCGTTGACTGGGTCGGACCGCTGCATGGCTCGGAAAGTGGATCAAGCACCCAGGAAGAGATAGTGAACGAATCGAATTTGCCAGGGTTCGACCTCATGCCGAGGAGGAAGAAATTCGGGCGGCTGGACGTGTGAGAGCAGGCCGAGTGTCTGGATTTGACCTTTCTGTTGTCCATCCTTTTCCGACCTTCTCAAAAGCGTAAGCGCCCCGACTCACCGCTTTATTCCTGCAGGCCGAGCTCCTGGCAGATGAAAGCGGTGAGCCTGGAGTACGTAAGAATGGGTTGCTCAGGCACTAATGCTGATTAGGATTCTGGGGCCTGCATCTGGACGGATCCCTCTGGGTGGAGACGCAGAATCGCTGATGCCTCTAGGGCTGTTTATCATGGGATGATGGAAGTGACTGTCTGTCTGGCTTATCGCAATCGATGGTTAGCATGATAGCAGTCAGACTATTCCAGTTTTCTTTTTTCTTTCTGTAGTTAGTGACATGCATTTGGTGGAAGCGATCGTGACCGGATTGATCCTAGGGCATGTTGGAAGGGCGCTCCTCGGTAACTCGATAGTCGATACAATGCGCCCAGATGATCCGCAGGCAGTGAGAGCTCAAAGCACCACCCCTCGGTCGTGGCGGTGGAAAGATAAATTAAACTGATTCAATGTTCTGGATAACTATCGGATGTATGCGATCCTCCTGGGGTACTTTTGTGCTCCCCTCATGATCATGTGCGTTTCCCTAGTAACTAACCGTGTCTGGTGGGGTTTCCTTGAGGTCCACTCAGTGATGCCCCACTCGCGTGCCGGGATTTTACGGGAACCTTCGTGGTGGTGATGATGATGATGATGATATTACTGTGCTGAGATTGAGATGAAAATAGGCTTCATCATTTCTGTGGTTCAGTATGAAACACATGTATCTGAGACTATTCTATAGAATTATCGAAGTCCCTTCCCGCATCATCGATTCAGAACCAAGTCTGGGATTGTCTGTGGTGGTCGAACCAAGGGGCCAAGGACAGGCTCGGAACTATCGTCCACCGTCATCTGACCGTGACACATTTGTACACAGTACTTGCACCGTATAGATAGCTAACTAGTTACTTGTCTACTTACGTATGTAATCATCCCCCCTCCTCAAGGTGGATCGTTTACCTATTCGACGGAGACGCGGAACGAGGGCGCGTCTCCGAGTGAGGCTGGTTAGGCGCGACTGCGGGCGTGCAGGCAGCCACAAGTAACCTGCCCTAGGGTACCTCTGGCTTCAGACTAACTCTCTCTGTCGAAGGGCCGGATTCCCCATGCCACTTATGCAGTTGGGACTAGGTAGTCGGTCTTAGGTTGATGCATCTTCGGCTTGGATGCCAAACTGCCAAAAACAGAAACAATAGTGTTTGGGGATGATGCAGTCCTGCATCTTCCCAAGCTCCCAAGTTGGATCGCTCCAGAACATGATTCTGTCTGCTGTCTCAAGCTTTTGCATTATCCATTTAGCGCCCAGGATGGAGTGATTCGGTAGTGTGTGGTGTTCCACGAACAAGGACACCTGATGTAGCCCGCCCACACGCTCGGTGGCCGAATCCACTGGATTGCTTCCAAAGTACTAAGTTGAAGGTGGGGGGAGGAGGGGAAATGGAGTTTGGCAAGCGAGCAAGCAGAATTGGAAACGAAACAGCGTCCATCGCCTTACGGAAGGTTGTGTTTCTGACCCTTGATTTCCCTTCACCTGCTGACGCTGGCTGTCGTGTTGGCGGCCGCTGGAGCAGCTGACCCTGAGCTGAAGTGGGAGGCAAACCATGCGCCATGTTTGAACCTCTGACCACCTTGGACCCAAGGTCATTCTGGCGTTCGCAGTGCATAGCACGATTAGCTTTTTCTGTCAAGATAGTTCTTTTTCCTTTTTCTTATTTTTTTTTACCTTTCTTCTTTTCTTTACCTATTTGGTCCAGGGGACATCCAATGAAGGCCAAGAGGCTTGCCAGAAATTTAGGGATGTTGGGGTGTGTTCTTTAGGCTACCGATAGACTGGGCGATGATCTGTCAAACTGAGAGACATCACATCGTCAGCAATATTCTCCTATTGCTGCGTGATGACGGGTGGCTTTTACCAGCCAAGCACGATTCATCCCCCGTCTTCTATCTGGCTTCAACTGACTTGGCAACGTGAACGATGAAATTCAGGATGCCGCGCGAAGCTCTTGTGTTCGCGGAAGTGGTTCGCGAAATGCGCTCGCGAACCATTCTAAATTTGTACTTTGTAGACGTTCAAATGAACCAACACTCGTCATTGTGACGGACGGAAGAAGGGGAACGGAGGTGAGAGGGGGTCTGGAACAACGGCAGCGCTCGATTTGAAGATCCACCGGGGCTAGTTCTAGTCGGAGTTAGACGGGCAATCCCACTCACACAAATTGGATCGCATGGAAATGAAGTCATGACCAGCCTTGCGGCGGGTGGCCGATTATCAAATAACTGGTGGGTTATCTACGACATAAGTAGGGATTACCGACGGTGATCCCAGTGAGCCGATTTACCAAAGAGGGGTTAAGGAAGGGTTAGACTTCAGAAAGAGGGGAGGAAAGGAGGGGGAGTTTAGAGGGGTTAGAGGGGTAAGGAAGTGGGTGGCGGGATAGAATTCAAATGGGGTAACATGAGATGATCTAGAAGAAGGAAAAAATAAAAGGAATAAAAAAAGGGATGATGATGGTTGAAGATAGATAGTTATGCGGATTATTGAAGGATGAGATGAGTACGTAGGTACGATCAGCGTGAGGAATGGGAGCCCGGTTTGGACGAATCGACCACTTGATTTGGGGTGTGAAGAGATTCCGTGGTGGAAATGAAGGGAGCCAATACACGAATCATGATGGCGGTGCGTCTCCGTGGCATTTTGACGGTGCTGGATCCCTGCCGGAGGGGCAAGGGGGGGCTGACGAGGGGCGAAAAGAAAAATAATTTTGTAGGAAAAAAAAGAGGGGACGGAGGGGAGGGGGGGGCACTAATCTGTTGGCTGGACGGGAGTTTGTGAGAGACAGAAGAAAGAGAGTGAAAGTGCGTGTCTGCGATGGATTCTCAATTCAACCTGCAAAAACCAGTCTAACCTATTCAAGCCTGTTCCTTTTACCCCCTTCTTCTTCTCATCTATCGAGCACTCTCTTTCCCTCTAATTACTGTGGACCATCTCCATGCAATGACCAAGATACATCGACTGGAATTGTAGTCTAATGCTGTGCCCTGACCTTTGTCTACTGACAATGGTCAATGACAGTATCTACCTGTCTTCTGGACGGCCCCGCAGCCGACTGTACCAAGTTTGCGATTTCTGCGCTGTCACATAGGGATGGGCAAGAGGGATGACTTTTTGGCTTTTCCTCATCTTACTTGCACCCGATACGATTGAGGTAGATAGTTTACAGCAGGTAATCCGAACCTCACTCAGTTCCTCGGTGCTAGTCATGTCCGCCTCGAGGTTACTAAGACAACCTGAAGTCTTGTCCAGTGTCCTCCTCACTGCATTTTACCCATCGAGCTACCACTTGTACCCACTGAACAAAGTTACATACCATACCGTATGGAGTCCTCATTCCACCCCAAACCCCACTATGAAATAATATCGATTGGAAGTGGGAGTGAGGAAAAGTAGAAAGTCGAGCCTGCCATCCAGCTCCGGCATGGCTTTTGTGTGGTCAGTTAGGCAGGTCGCAGGAATATACCGTAGAAGCTCTGCTGGCCCATTATTATCCTTCTAGGGTCCTGCACTCGACCGCTGAAAGGTGAGCGAGGGGCGCCATCACCAAACAGGGATAGGAGCATTATCCGAGTGGGTTAACCCTAGCAGGGGGTATTTGATCATGAGAGTGTCGACTGTGCGCTGTGTAAGAGAGGGGATGTATAATGTTCCCAAGACGTGACGACTAACTACGGTGTACTTTGTAGCTAACCCACCAACAACAAAACTAATCATCATGATAACTATGATCCAAAACTGTCCAGATCACATCATGAGTCTCGATAACTCACCAGGGGAAACATGTAGGATGCTGCCCAATGTTGTGCATATGAAGAGTAAATTTTCTTTTTTTCTGCTCGGATTATTTTCTCGGATATTGAGATCATTGTGTTTCTTTTCGATTTTATTTTATTCTATTTTTCGTTTTTTCTTCTCACATTTTCCATTTTCTATTTTTGCCTTTTCCAGTAGTAGTAATGGTGGGTGCAAAATGGAAAATGGAGAGTGGATAAGATTCTCCCTCACATCAACCCAAGACCTCTAACAAACGGTCGATTTCAGCCAGTCGAAGGAGGTCCCCCGGCTGAACCGGGTTGACGGGTTGGAAGTCTACTTACTACTGTACGGCCCATGTGGGCTGCGGTGGGCTGGGCTACTGCTTTGTTTTGTTGTCTGTTCTTTTAGCTGTGTAGATAGTCTAGTTTGTATGACTTTTTTATTTATTTTATTTAATTTCTATCATATTATTATTCATCATTTTGCAGTTAGATCCATTTTTGTTTTGGATTTTGTTGCATTTTCATTTTCATTTTTGCTTATTTCCCTGAACTTTTTTGTCTCTTTTCGAAATATGGGTCACCGAAGGAAAGGTGGACGTGTCCTAACCAGGTTCCGTTTAGCCCGGGCACGCCGTTAGTCAGAATGGGCAACGGCCACAGCCATTGGCTGTCGGGGAATGAAGACAGTGGCATTATGGGCCCCAGTGCGTGTTCGAATCCGGGGACTGGCCTGTTCGCTTGTTTTCCCCCTCCGTCAGTCCCGCCGAGGGAGCCCCTCTTTCCCGCCTCCCACTTCCCTGTTGTCGCTGCGCCGCTCGTCGCCCAAATCGCCAACACCGCCGCTGGACACGACCGCCTCACTGTCGCGATCCAGCGATCGCCCGAATCGCCCATCGGCTTGTGCCCACGTCCTGGCGCGCTTCTCTCTACACCCACACCACTTTTCCCTCTTTGCGCAGTCTTTCCCTTCCCCCCCCCTCGCTCCCTTCCTTTCGACCAGGCCTTTTTTTCCCAGACTCTCTCTCCCGCGACTCACAAACTACTTTCTCCTCATCCATTCAACATCCCCCCCCCTCCTCTTACCCATTCTTTTTCTCTTCCTTTCCTCCTTCTCCCTCTTCCCTCTTCTCTCAAACGTCTTCCTCCTTCCTTCTTCCCCCTCCTCCTCTTTCTCTCTCCTCTTCTTTCCTGGGTCAGCATTCAACATCTTGCTCTCTTCCTTTTTCTCTTTTCTTTTCCTTTTCCCTCTTGTTTGTCTTTTCCCGTTCTGTCTTTCCCATCCTTTGGTACTTCCCCTCCCCGGCTTCTTATTAAAGACTGCCTCCACCACACAATCACCACCACCACTATTACAACCACCCGCTATCACACCCTTCTCCCCTCCTAGTCCGCCTGTGGCTGGACCCCCCTTCTTCCAATTCAACACTGCCCTCCAGTATTCCCCCACACAAGGAATGATCAGGCACCAAACCGAATTCCTGTCGTCTACCCGCCTACAGAACCGGTGTGAAATCACGAAAGGGACGATAGCGCAGTCTTCGATCTTGTCGCTGTTCTACTAGGATTCGGCCGTGGTTGTATATTCGCTGCAGTATTCTCAGCAATGGCTCCCACTGCACCTCCCCAGGCGACCAACTCGCCAGCCAAGAAGACATCAGCCCCAGAGAAGAAATACAAGTGCCAATTTTGTAATCGCGCCTTTAGCAGAAGCGAACATCGCAGCAGACACGAACGTTCGCGTAAGTAGAGTGGTCTCTTTTCTATATGGTCTTCTTTTCCTGTGCGCGGGGCTAGGTGTACTGTCTTTGTGCAGACGGGCTAGTTACTGTGCTACGGCTGTGTTTCGCGTCGTTTAGTCTTAGGGCACAATACTAACCTTCGTTACTTCATAGATACCAAGGAGAGGCCGTTCAAGTGTCTGAAGTGCCGGAGTACTTTTGTCCGTCGTGATTTACTCCTCCGTCATGACCGTACCGTTCACGCAAAGGACGGTGGGATACCGCTAGTTTCCGAGGGCCGGCGACGTGGTGGCGCGGGTGTCCAAAAGACTTCCCCCGCACCCGCCCCGTCCAAGCCCTCGATCACAATTGATCCTGCTACTCTCGAACAAATAGAGGCCAGCAGTGATGGTATGGTTGATCTTGAAACTGCAGCCATGTTGATGACAGATTTCCAACATAAGGCCGCAGCCGCCGCTACTGGTCAAGCCAATGAACGTGCTGAATCGGATCGCTCCTTTTCCCCTGGACGCGGTCCTTTACTAGAGCCTCCTGTGTCGTACATGTCGGGCAACGCGACCTTGCCGCAGATGCCTTGGGACACCCTGGTTTCCCCTGCGGACACGAAGCACACGATGGGATCGCCATTCGTGTCTCAAGACAGTGGCTCGGAATCGCATACGCTGCCCTCGGTTATGGACCGACACGGCGCTGTGGGTGATGCGCTTGCTCCCTCGCTGCACTCCCTGGTGAACTCGCTGCCCATGTCTGGAAACTCGACGCCGAATGCGCTTTCTCCGTATCCCTCGATGACCGGTCCCGTCAGTCCAGTGAACTACCGCCGGTCGCCCGGTCCTAGCCAAGCCCTGACGCTGCCCAAGGCCCCGCAGATTGCCAACGAGATCGAGCGAAACATGGTTGTTGAACGTCTGCACAATGTGGATTCTCTCAATGTGCTCCCCGAGACCTTCCAGCTGCCTCCGACCGCATCTCTCAACAAGTATCTCTCCACGTACTTCAATCTGTACCACCCTCACCTGCCGTTCTTGCACCAAGAGTCTTTCAAGCCCACCGCTACTTCACCGCCATTGCTGCTCGCGGTCCTGTCTATTGGTGCTCTGTACACTTTCGAGCGGCAGCATGCATTCATGCTCCACGTGGGGTCCAAGATGCTGGTCAACCAATTTTTGCAACATAAGGACAACTTTGACTCGCGCAAGTGCCCTCTCTGGGCCATGCAAAGCACCCTGCTGAACATGATTTTCGAGAGCTGGAGCGGTGATCCCAAGGGTCTCGAATGGACCTGTTCCATTAAGAGTCTTCTGGCCAATGTAAGCGCATTCCCGTTCTCTACTATACTATTTGAATGATGCTGATAATTGTAGATGGTTGCCGGAAACCGCTATCAACTGAAGCTCCGGACCGAAGCGCGCGAGGGTGCTCAGCCGACCCGCGAGGAGTGGATCGAGGACGAGTCGTGTCGCCGGACGTACTACGCCGTTTACATCTTCTTCGGCATGCTTACGCTGACTTTCAACCACACCCCAGCGATGAGCTTTGACGAGTTTGACAACTTGGAGCTGCCTTCCTCGGAATCCATGTGGAACCTGGATGTGACGGACGATGAGGCGTGGCGCCGCAGCTTGGCGTCTTCCACGCCGCTTACTGTTCGTGAAGCGCACGACTGCCTTTTCCAGGGCGAGCAGACGCGCTACAGTGCTTTCGCCACCCGCGTGCTGATCAACGCGCTCTTCCTGCAAGTTTGGAACCACAAGAGGAGCTTCGAGGCCCTCCAGGACGTGGTGACCGAATACAAGCTCCGCTTGGCGCTGGAGACGTGGGAGAGCTCGCTTGAAGTTTGCGAGCCAGAAACGATTGTGGTGCCTCTCAGCACCCCTCAAAAGGGCCACCCCTTGATCTTCAACTCGATGGCCGTCTACCGCAACACCCGCGCTCGCCTGGAAGTTGATCTCAAGTCCATCCAGGAGGCCCTGCGCTACCACTCATCTTACGAGGTCGCTGCTGCGATGACGGTCGCTCGCGAGAAGGTCAAGCGGTCTCAGGAGATGAACAAGGTGATCCAGTCGTGCTTTGAGTGCATTGAGATCGCCGCTGTTCAGGGAATCAACTGGGTCGCGAAGACATCTGCAACCAACTGGAGCGTCGAGCATCCTCTCTGCGGCTTGGATTTGATGGTCATCCTCAGTCTCTGGCTCTATCGCCTGGAACATGACGAAGAGCCCGCATCGGAGGCTGAGATGGCCATCTATAATAAGGTGCGGAATCTGTTTGATGATGACGCCGTCGATGCTTTTGGAAAACTCAGCTCCACCGTGGCCCGTGTATGGGGTAACATCCTAGACGGCGTGGTAGTTTGGGGGTACGTTGAATCCTTCTATGCTTATGCTGTGATATTGTTTGCTAACCTGAAACAGAATTACGAAGCTCATGGGCGAGTCATTCAAACTTCATTCCCAGGCCTTGGTCGGCTACGAAGATTCGTTGCGCGTTGCCAAGGACCAACCTATTCACCCAATGCCGACGAAGACGCTTGCCAGCGTTGGCACCGCGTACTAGTGCGAGCAACATCTCCACTCGACGAATAGGTAGTTTGACTATGGTCATCTACATCTTCGACTAAGTTCATCTCATTATCGTTACATTCATTCTTTACGCGGGCATTGGTTTACATCTGATTTGGGTCGCTGGTGGATTTCGGATTGGGTCGGGAACGGCGAGCAAGTGGCGGCAGGATTCCCCAGGGAATGCTATGATCTGAACTGCCGCATTATGCTGCTTGCTGGCGTTCCCTGGCTCACAGTTAATTGTTTTTTATTGTTTTCTGCGACGTCTTTCATTGCGTTATGGTTTCGCAAGAGCTCACGGGAGTCCGGTGTGGTCATTTTCTTGTTTTTGTGGGTTGTTTTCCCAAGGCAACATCTCGACACCCGGCTGGTCCTGTGTGTTCGTCCTAGCACTCGGTGGAGTTGTTGTTTTCATTGCCTTCTTCTTATACGCTCTTCTACGCCCTAATCATTAGTGCCTCCGTTCTACATGTGCGCATCAGCGTGTTTGGTCAATTGCCATGGGGTTACCCTAGGCCATCTTTGATACCTTTGTCCGTTATATACATTCTTCTGCTTCAAGTCATTCGTTCAACCTTTTGATCTATTACTTTGTTCGTGACCACTTAATGTATTGCGTTAAATCGTTGATATAGTGATGTGTTTATGTGTCCCCGCCGTTGATGTTCTCCGCTCTGATTTGATTTGCTTGCGACTGTTTTGATTTTGGCATTCTTGATTTGATTTGTTTAATTGCACATGCTTTGCTTGACCTTATCAGTAGTTCTCTGTACCATAGTAATTTGCGCAGAAAATATAACTTGTTGGCGGGGTCTTTGCAGTTGCAGTTGTAGAGTTGTTGAACTAGCGAAATGGTTGGACTTAGCTGGAGCTGGCTTTATCGACGAGGTGAAAGAGTGGGTCAGCCAGCACGGTGGATCGGTGGGGGATCTGGTTCGCGGGTGCTTATCAGGAAAGAAAGGAGGCCGACAATCGCGGGGAATGAGGTGCACTGAAAGAAGATGAAGAGGAATGAAATCCATGGAAGTTGCAGAGACTGGAATTTGGGAGATCACTGGACCGGAGCAGGTGACTTGGTGCTTACCCCTCTTCTTTGCTTCTGCAGCAAGCAGTGATGCCCGTTCCTGATCCTACAAGTACAAGTACTCCATAGTTAGCTCCTGATTCTCCTTCCTCTTCCCCTCACCTTATCACTCACTTACTTTACTATCGCCCAACTAAATCAATCATGGCCCTCCCTTCCAACGTCCACGTCTCTTCCCATCCCCTCCTCCAAGCCAAGCTCTCACAGCTCCGGTCCGCATCCACCTCGACCCGCGAGACCCGCAGTCTGGTGCACGAGATAGCGACTATCTTGGGCGTGGAGGCATTTGCAGCAGGATGGAAGGTGAAGAAAGCAGGAATGGTAGGCTCCTCGCCAATTAAACAAAAATCAATCGACTCCATCCTTGTATTTACTGACTGATTTATCTGGACAGGATACCACCCCGTTAGGCACCGAATACGTCACTCACGACATTGATCCTTCGGACATTGCCTTGGTGCCTATTCTCCGGTCCGGATTGGGCATGATAGAGGGTATTCCCCTGCCCCATACTCTCTCACCGACCAATTCGGTCACCCAATAACTGTAATCTAATAAGTAACAAAACTGATCATGGGAAATAAACAGCGATGAACATCCTCCTCCCCACCTCCGTCCCAATCTACCACCTCGGTCTCTTCCGCGAACGTCTCACCCTCCAACCCGTCGAATACTACAACAACCTGCCCTTCCAACCTGACAGTTCCAGCACTAACACCGCTGCCGCGGCCACAGCCATTCTCCTTGATCCGGTCATTGCAACGGGTGCTACCGCTGAAGCAGCGATCCAGTTACTTCGTGAATGGGGCGTGCAGAGAGTCGTCATGTTGAGTGTGTTGGGTTCGGAGGCGGGTGTGCTTCGCGCGGCGGGTACTTGGCCGGAGGGTGTGGAGGTGTGGACTGGGGCCGTGGATGCCAGGTGTGATGAGCGGGGGATGATTGTGCCGGGGTTGGGGGATATTGGGGATCGGTTGTTTGTTGCGATGGGGAAGTAGGTTGCAGTTTGCAGTCTAGTATACTAGTCTACTTACGATGGTATAGCATGTAGTGAAAGAGATGGATAGATAGCTAGCTTGCAGCAGAACAGGTAGACGGGGTAAATAGACATATGAAATGACCTTATCAGCCACTTGATTGATAGACTGAGAATTACCGTCCCCTCTGCAAAAACCCCAATACATCCATCTCAACCCCATACTCCACCTCATGCCTACCAGCACCACCACCACCAACACCACCAACACCACCCTGATTCACATTCATCCTACTCCCCATCCCCACATTCAACCCACCCACCGGAATCTCCCTCCCAGTAGTAGAAGTCGGCGTCATCGGTCCCAAACTCGGCGACGCAACAACACCCACACCCACATCCATCCCCGTCGTCAACGCCACCCCAATCTCATTCTCATCCTTATACATAGTCCCACTCCCAGCAGATGCAGAATTCTCCGGCGTGATATTCCTCTGATGCAGCCCGCCACCTGCACCAGTACTACCATCTAAACACCTCCCATCATGCACATGCGCATGTCCATGTCCATGTTGTTTAATGATGAACTTCTCCCCAATCCCACCCCGTCCGTGATGTATCCCCCGCGTGAGGAGCATTTGGCGGCGGAGGGTTTGTGCGCGTTCTTCGCGGAATTCGGCGGCTATAGTTCCCATTCCCCCATGGGTGGTGTTTGTTAGATGAGTGTGGATGTATATGGGGTATGGGGAAGGGGGTATACATACCTCTCCAGAAAAAGACATACACGCCCATTACAACGAAACAGGCGGCGAGGAAGCCGAAGAGGATGCCGAGTTCGTGGGAGAGGGAGGTCATGGGGGTGTAGGGGGGGATGTTGTGCGGGTTGTTGTTGTTATTATTGGTGGTGGTGGTAGGGTTTATGGGGGAGGTGGTTGTGGTGTTGGACATTTTGATCTTTGAAGATGTTGGTGGGATGGTTCTGAGGTTGGGGTTAGTTGTGTTGTTGGGATTATAGAGGGGAGTAGTGGTGGTGGTGGTGGTGGTGATGGGTTTGTGTATGCGCGCGTTTATGTAGTATATGACTTACTGTTGTTCTCTTTTGCTGGTTGGAGATGGTGATGGTGATGGAGTTGTGGAAGTAGATGTAGAAGTAGACGCGATGAGGATGTAAGCGTGGTTGATCTTCGATCAAGGGAACCCACTTTTTTGCAAAGGACATTCACTGACATATGAGATAAAGAATGGAGATGGCAGTAATCTGCAGTCAGTTCGTATTCTTTGTCTGTCTGCGCGGTATCATCATTGGTCGTCGCACTCGTACTACCCGGATCGGCCAACAAAGGCCGAATCAGAATCAACAGTGAAGTGAATGAATAGAATTCAGATTCATGATCAGTTAAGTAAGTAGTAAGTGTAAGTAGTAGTAAGGTAGTGTAATAGTAAATACATCATCAAACAATAGCCTCAAGGCACAAATCAAGGTATCATGTACACGTACAAGAAGCGTCAGTAGAAGTAGGTAAAGGTGAAAGGTAAAGCACCCGGTCTATACATGGGGTATGGTATGAATGCAAAGGTCGAAAAGTAATGCATACCTCACATAAAGTGAAGTGAAGAAGCGAAAAAATAAACTGCAGCACAGCCAAAATTGATGGTGGCTGCTGCAATGCAATGCAAGCAACGCTCGTAGCAGAGAGCGACCGAACCAAGTCTAGTCGCCAAAGACTGTCGTGAAAAGAAATTATAATATAACTCCGAATGCAAGTTGATGCAGCAGAACCGTCGAGACGAAAGTCGACGATAATCGTTGAAGGGTATCACCCCAGCATCACTGCTGCCAATGCCGTACAGGTCAATCCAATGGCCATGCCAATCCATGGTGTTTGTCCGAGTGTGCCTTCACTGCGTGCGCGCAACGCTTTGGTTTCCCCTGTCGTTGCGGCCAGGCTGATTCTCCCGCTCGCTGGTTCGGGCAGCTGATCCTGCACCCGTGTTGCATCTGTAGTATCTTGAATCTCTAGCAGCGTGCGCATCTTCCGTAACTCCGCATGTTGCACTGCATTCGACGGCATCGGGATCTCAGGCAACGGGTCGGGCGGGTTGGCATTGGGGAGGGACGGCGTGGGAGACACGGCGGGGGGTATTTGAGGATCAACCTCGGCGGCGAGGGCTATCGTCGGAGCGAGACAGAGGAGGATCGTGGAGGTCTTCATTGTGAATGTGTGGAGTGGATGTGCGAGAATGCGACGAGAAAGGTCGGTGCGGAGGAAAACAATGCAAGCAAGCAAGGCTGCGGGATTCCAGAACGTGCTGGATTAAAGCGAAGAAAACTCGTGCCAGGTATTGAAATCCACCACTTCAACGATACCAACAATAGCAACAGAAGAATCCAAGTCCCACAGTAACCGAAGTCAAGGTGTAAAGCTGAGTCGAGATCTGAAACGGGGAGCGCGACAGATGCGAAGAGTCGAGAGCGCAAAAGAAACGACTGGCTGGGGTGTATCTCCTGAAACCTGTAACGAACAATACAGGAGAAGCAGGCAACGGCAACGACAGTGTATGTGTATGTTAAATAAACTTGCAACAACAACCACAGCAACGACCGTCTCCAACAACGACGGGCACAATACAATATAAATAAAGTACAAGCAAGAGCGAGAGAGAGGGTTGCAACAGGAGAGGAAATAAAAAAGGGACGGACGGGAAAGCAGAAGAAGAAAAGAAGAAGGGGGGAAAAACAGGCGAAACGGCCCAGACGCTGACAGGCCAAGCTGGAACGGGGGGGCCCTGACCCTGGCCTTTGCCAAATTAGTGGAAATTTAATTCGTCTTTAGCGTTTTTTGCGCCGACCTCTCCTCTTCTAGGACAAAGCCCCACTTGCCCAAGTGGCCCCCAATAGGTACCTAGTGGGGTTTGCCCAGCCTGCAGTGGCCCGCTATCCTAAATCTCTAATTGGCTGTATCCTGCCGTGTCAGCACGGGCTAGGACTAGCGTCAGTTGAAAGGTTGTCTCGTGCCACTTACAGAAGCTTGTCAAGAAGGGCAGCGGTGGAACCAGGGACAATCCCTGTAACCATCGGCATCAGCTTTTGCCCGATTGGGGGAGGGTCTGGCCCGGGTGAACCAATAAGAAGAAGGAGAAACTCCACGCGAGGGCGAGGTTCATTTCCCGCTATTGGGTGACTTGGGGACGGGATGATAAGTTAGTGTAGTGCACTGTATAGGGCAGATAGATACTAGTATGGAACTTAGTAATAAACAGTATTATTTCCCAGTGTATCAGGCTATCTCGATTCCAAGTGAGACATTAATTTGCTTGTTGCTCACCGGCCCTGAAAATGACGAGCTTAAGCTGGATTAATGATGATGTGCAAATCCCTCTCACAACAACACGGGATATCGCATCAGCTAACTCCCATCTATCATACTTCATTAAAGTCTATCGATCATCACATACTCGGCATCTCATACACACTTTATTACATACAGTCCTGCCTCACTCTGCTGCTGCTACTGCCCTCGGGTGGTCCGTGTGCTAATTTTAGTCCCGCACATCACACTGTTTCTCCGCGACAATCACTTCCACAAGGCAATCAACATCAACACCACACAATGGCTGTGGCGTGGCATGGCTGGCATTCTTTTCTTACGTCGTCACCTCTCACAGCCATCCATGTGGATAATACATCATCCCCAGGGTTTCTCCTCATTGGCATCTGAACTTTTGACAGTTCTATCTTTGTCTTTCATCTCTATGAACAAAACATCCGATCGGCTGTCCCCCAGCCATCCCGCATGACGTAAACCCCTTCCCTGCCTCCCAAATAAACAAGGCTATCACAACAACAACAGCCCCATCAACAGTGGGATAGCGTCAACATCCACCAGCCTTCTCACTGTTACATACAACATCGTCCTGTTACAACATCTTCCCCCAGTCCGGTGTCACCGTAAACTTTCCACTCAGCTGTCCCATCGCCCACACCTTCTTCTCATCATCCGGAAATTCCTCGTCCGCTGCATTAGGCGGGGTCGACACGATCAACGCTTCTTGGAGAAAGTCCACGGCCGTTGCGCGATCCAGCTCGAAGCTGATTCCTCCCCAGTCCATCGTCACCCGACCCGACGCATGGACATTCAGCTTGCCGACGCGCCCGGCGCTGAGGCCCCAGTCGGCTGCAGTGACAATCTTGGACGACGTCCCTGTTGCCGTGGCATCCTCCCCACCCTCGAGGATCTCGACGCCATCTTCGCGCTTGACGCCTGTCTGCTCTGACCCACTGGCCTCCGGTGCGCTCTGCCCCGCCATCGTCTCTGTAGCCTCATCCACTGGATTCTCGCTGTTGCCCGGTACCACCAGGTTCGGCGTCATCGGTGGGAATTGCATCAGGAACAGCTGCCCCGCCAACTTGTCCTTGTTGACATCCTCCTCCTCCTGCTCCTTGTCCTTGTCCTCCGTTGTACTGTCCTTCTCCTTATCCTGGTCGTTGGCAACCACAGCAGGGGCCTCTCCCTCTGTCGGGGTGGTGGTCTCCGATTTCTCAGGTTCAGGCTCCTTCTGGAAGAGATCCTTGACAATCTCCAGGTCCTGTTCGTGTCGCTCGTACTCTTCAATATCTTCCTTCGTGCGTAGTAAACTCTTCGGGTCCTTCACGGCAGCAGGGATCTCCGATTCGGGCTGGGGCGTAGCTTCGTTCGACGGGGGTGTAATTTTCCTGCGCACCTTGACCTTCTGCACCGGCAGCAGTCCATCATCCGTCGTAGCTGGCTCCTCCGCATGCGGAACATCTGTCATGACCTGATCATCATCATCCGTAGGCTCAGACTTGACCCTAGGCTCTCCCTCCGTGGTAGCCGCAGCATCATCATCAGTCTGCTGCACAAAGAGCGCGCCATCATCCTCCTTCGTCTGCGCCTTCGCCTTCTCCCTCAGCTCTGCCGACTTGCTGGAGCTCGACTCCATATTGACACTGACCGTGCGCTCCTCATGCTCATGTCTCTCAACCCGAATAGGCCGCAACCCCTTCTCCGCATCAGCATACTTGACCGCTGCCTTCCCCTTCTTACTATCAACCATCATCTGCTCCTGATCCTCCTCATCACTATCCAAATTGATCTGGTCAATACTAATGCGCACCTCCCCATCACTCTCATCTGACGAGTAATCGCGAGTCCCCGCCGCCGTATTACCCAGATCAATAACCGACCGACTGCGTCTCGACATAGACGAATGTCTCGAATCATTTCCAAACCGTCCTCCTCTACCCCGACGTCCAGACATCCCCGATCCCAATGGCCCACCCGCAGACCCCAGAGGTCCGCCACGCCCGCGCCCAAACCCACCGCGACCACCAGGACCGCCCTGATCCCGGCCGCGCTGAATCGCCGCCGCCTCCTTCAGGCGCTCGCGGTGCCGCTCGGCTTCGAGCTTCTCAATGGCTTCTCGCTCCTCCTTGCTGCGACGGCCGACGGCGCGCGGCTTGTATTTGAGTGTAGGTTTGGCGGGTTCGCCGGGCGCAGCGGGCGCGCCGGGGGGTTTCGCGGCCGGTCCGATGCTGCCGGAGGGTGTGCGTTTCTTGAGCGATTGGAGGCGCTGGACGGGGGCTCGCCCGGAGGCTGATGGGCCGGGCGTGGGAGTCTGAGAGTCGCCGGTGGTGGTGGCGCTGGGCGCGGGACTCGCTGAGGCGGTTGTAGATGCATTGGCGCGGCTGGCTGCGCCGGCTGGTGCTCCTCGTCGGGGAGCACCTTTCGGAGGCATGATGGGTGGATGTGAATGTGGATGATCGGTGCGGTGGAAAGGGTGGGATTAAGTAGCGTTGAAGTAGTGTTAAAGTATGGACGAGCTGAAAGGGTATATAGAGGGTGGCTCGTCCGGAAGTAGGGAAGAGGAAAAGTAGAAAAGAAAGGCCGGGACAGGATTGGTAATGAAGTCGAGTGAAGATGAAGATACGGAACTTTTTGGCAGGATCCGCGCCCGCTCGGCGTTGGAGAAAAAAAGGAAATTCACGCCTCAGGCCGCTAATGCGGGGCAACGCCAGTCAGACGGCGCTAACCCGATCCGCACATCACCTCAGATGGTGCTTCAATAATTCTGTCAATTAATGGCAGCCATTCACTGGATGTGATGGATCGCATTGAGTTGGTTTTGAACAATGGGTCTATTCAAATGTAGCAATTAGGCTAGAGACTTTCTATTCTGTCTATTGGCTAGCCTTCTACTACCAGCTCGCTTACGGCTCTGCTGTGGCTCATAAAATTCAATATATATTTCCTATTGATCACACTAGACCTCTTTGCAAGTTGTAACTCATCTCCAGTTGAAATCAGACGGGCACCAGCAAAGCCATTCAAAACACAACCAAGTAATCCAGATACATCCGCTCTTTCAATGGGGGCCTAAATGAGTGGAGGCGACCCCGGACCGTGGCCGCGAAAACATTGCAGCAACTAACGCCAAAAGACACAACTCAGGAAGCTCAATCAACCCGCTCAGCTCAATCGCTAGACTATCCATGAGAAATAACAGACCAGGCAGAATGCAGACGGTAATGCGAACTAGGTTGGCGATCCGAGAGGAGAGAGGTAGAGAGGTGGAGAGAGAATGAAGGGAGCGCGGCACTCGTGACTTCGATGCAAGATACAAAGAGAGACGTCGTGCACGAATCCGCCGATGATGAAGGAAGGACATCCCAAGAGGCAGGCCGGCTCGGGGGAGAGGAAGAAGTATTCAGTGATTTGATGGGGGAGATTCGGAGAGTTTCAAGATGATCAAGCCAACGGTCCGCGTGGAAAAACTCGTTAAGGAGGGGAAGGATACAATGCACGGAAGAATGTCGATTCGTCTATGTTAAAAGGTGTAATATGTCAGGAGAAATGCAGCCATCCAGGCGCAGCTCATCAATGGTTCGGTACGACCGGTGTGGGCGAAAAGGAAAATGTGAGTTAGAGGAGCGAGAGGTCCGAGAGGTCATGGGCCAGACACAGCCATCCTCATTGCTGGGATTGGAATCCAACTAACGCTTGCGCTTCTTGTTCTTATCCACGCTAGCTGCCGTGGTCACCGGAATAGCGGCCACGATAGATTGCGTCTCGACTCCATTCGGAGTGGCGTCGAATGCTTTCTTGACAGGGACCCCCATGTGGCGACCATAGCGGCCTTTGCGACCGTTTCCTTCGTCTTCGCTGATGCACCCTTCGATGCCGATGCCAGCATCCTTGCATCGGCCGCAAGGGCGTTGCCGATCGCAGCCCTTCTTGCTCTTCCGGCATCGTTGGCAACGCGGCTTAGTCGACAAGTCCTCCTCGTCGGCGGCGAGCTGGTGCTGGAAGTTGACGGACGAAGTCGAGGTTTTGCGGACCGGCACAGGGCTCATCATCTGCGGTGATACCGCCGTTTTCTGAGCCACCGTGGTAGACGTCGCCTTGACTTTACGAGCGGCCCCATTAGCCGCTGGCTTGCTGCTCTTATTCGGACGCACGGGTGCTGGCTTGGGCCCGCGCGCCTTGGTGGAGGTGGCAGCATGGGTGGGCCGGGTCTTCGCCTTCTTGGACTTGGGAGCGTCCCGGTAGAGAGTATCCTCCTCCATATCATGCCTCACCAGGGTGTCGTTCAACTCTTCATGTTGGTAATCCTCATCGTAGCCGTCGTAACTTCCATCAGAGCTGTCAAAGCTGGGAAGGATATCGTCCAGATGCTTGTGTGTGTGCTTGGTGGCACCGGGTGGGAGCATGGGGCTGGAGTCGAGCCGCTGCTTGGACCGAGCGGGCAGATCATCGTCATCATCGCTGTAGTCATCACCGTCGCTGGTTGCGCCCGTCGACGATGCAGCATCAGCGGCACCGCTGAAAGCATCATCAAGCGTGGAGGCAGAAGTACGGCCGTGCGAGAAATTAGATGCGTCTCCCAGACGAATCAATTGCATAGCAACATCCTCGTCAGAGATACAGCTGGCAATGGTAGGATCCGGGGTGGGGAGGATGCCCGGGCCGCCGCCCCGACCAGCCTGGTTGCTATACTGCCCACCAGAGGACTGGGTAGTGGCTCGGTCGCGCAGCCGGTGGCCATGCTCAGGAACCACAGGGGTGGCGTACACAGGATTGCGCACCGGATTGACGTTATAGATTTGCTCATTGTATCCATAGCTCTGTGGAGACGGCAATGGTTGTTGGTTGTATGGGCGCTGGGTGGGGCGTGCGAAAGGTGAGATGGCCCCTTCCTGACCGATTGACCGGCGTTGGGGCGAGATCGACGACGTGGAGGTTGTGAGCGGGACCTGGGGAGGAACGAACAAAGGCAATTCCTGGAGAGGAGACAAAGAGACGACGTTAGCAAGTCTGGTTCAACAAAGACGGGGCACGAAAAGATGCCTGCCACGAACCGAACTTTCAAACTTGGGCCGCTTGCGGCGGCCATCTTGGAGGATGTTTTCCATGCTGATATCTGAGCTGCCAAACTGCTCGGTTCGGGACTTCTTCGTCCCAGAGTAGCCACCTTCGCTATCGCTATAACCAGGGGTACCCTCCTCGTGGAAGCTGCCATGAGTGCTCGAGCCTCTGCTCTTGTTGCCTACCCGAGACGACTGCTTGTTCTGGGATGCGCTACGACGGCTGCGACCAGACGGGGATATACTGCGTTTCCGAGCCAGCCGCGACGCCGGCCGAGAAGGTGGTTGGCCGTGTTCCAAGACCTGCGCCGGCGGCATGGCCGGCGGCATCTGGAAGGGCTCCCCTAAGCTGGGACGCTTGCGGGCCTCGGCTGGGAGGTGCCCATAAAAGCGATCGCCGTAGCCCTCTGTGTACGCCTGGACGGGGATAACCCGCACATAAACAGTCATGTTGTTCCGTAGATTCTCATACCTGGCAATGAGGGTGATACCTTGCTCGTCTTCGAAGCTGACACCGCTCGCAGCACCATCGTAGATGCCGTAAAAATTCTTAACCGTAGTCACAATGGAATCCGTTGTGTCATGAGGGTAGATCTGTACCCGCATCGGTATGCGGGCCCGGACCTTGGAGTTCTCATCGAGAAGTAGCTCAAAGGCGACGTTCTTAGGAACCGAGCTCCGAGGGGAGGGTTCCTGAGGCGGCGCACGATGGTCGGTGTAGGCAGGCGACTCCCCAGGGGCAGCATGCTGTTCGTAGTGGACAGCCTGCATGGTGGGAGAGTCTGAAGAGAGGTACTACCACACTGCTACTACATTGATGTATGAATCAATCGGGTGTTCGAATTCGGGTGGGAAGAGCGGTCCGGGCGAGAAGAGACAGAGGGTGGGGGAGGAGGGAAGCAGGCAGAGAGACGGGGGAATAGGAGGGTATGGGCAATTTTCCATCCAAACCTACCACAACAGAGAAACCAGAGGGGTTCAGTTGAAAGATGGACTACCCGCGACAGTTTTTATGGATGTGATGGATGGCGACTCAAGAGGGTGGTCGGTGGGAGGACGACGGCACCTCAGTCGCAAGAGCCGAGAGCGACGGGAAAGGCAAAGAAAAAGACGGTCGAAAAGCTGGACAACCACCACCACCAAGGTTAGCACGATGCGATGCAAAAGTTGTCAATGAGAAAGGAGGATGTGTAGAGAAGGGAATCCAGGTTTATTCGATGACGCCGAGACCTCCCCTGTCGAATCCTGATGGGATTGCAGATTGGGAGGAGGATAGACGACCCGAAACACTCGGAAGACGATGGATGGCATCAAAGACGTACCGATGGGAAATCAAACCTATTTGTCTAGAGTCGCACCCGAGTATCGGATCCGACGAGATGAGAAAGGAAGGATAGCGATGGTGGTTGAGGGAGTAGGAAGAGGGGTGGGCCGTGGGAGGTGAGTCGTTCTACCAAGCGCTTGGGTATGTCAGCGGTGGCATCACGCAGAGCCGAAGCGAGTCAGGAGAACCAAAAGGCCAGGAAAGGGGGAGAGCAGGTGCAAAGAAAGATCAAAGTCATGCTTAACGATAGAGCGGAACCTACCTGATAGATATGCACCAAAAAATCGAAGGGAAATGGTGAAGAGAATGGGCGAGAAGAAGTCGGGTTGGGTCGAAGAGAAGGTTGAGGAGGAAGAGAGAGAGAGGAAGAGGGAGTGGGCGCTGGATGGATGGATGGATGTGGTTTCACCCAAAGCGAGCAGAGGTGGCCTGGGTCGGTGACAATCCATCCTCTCGAATGCACCCTTTTCCCCCCCACAGACTCCCCCGACTTCCTTCCAGATGCGAATTGATTCTCTATATTCTCCATTCAACCCTTTTTTCCATTTGCGCGTGGCTTTCTTTCATCGCAAAATCCTAAATCGCATTGCGTCCGAACGGACCGGCTTCTATCTGGATCTACGAGATCGGCGACTCTGTCTGGAAGGTCTGCTGGCAGAAAATAACGTACAAAGTACCTGTCAGATGAATCGCTAAAACTACACTTTCATATTACTATAACTTTTGTTCCATAATTATGCCAGTGATGGGGTGAAGGGTGAGTGTAAAGTGCTTTTGGATCTCTGGAGTATCGGCCGGGTGTTGGCGCAAACGACAGCGACATCGTCGATCTGCGACCACAGAGATCAGGTGCAGGAGTACTTTTGAACTGCCAATCTACGGACATTACAGCAACTCTCACACGGAAAGAGAATGACTTATGGATTTGGATCTTTATTATTATTATGATTATTACTGTTACCATTTAATTCCTTTGTGCACCCAACGGAAGACATGGTTGACCAGATGAAGCGGAGTGGCGTAGGGTCAAGGTTGGCTGGCACTTCTTCAGCGCGGCCACGTCGAATGACACCCCCGATCACATCCCGGCTGCGGAGAGCGAGTGATGGGACGCTTTCTTCATGTCCGTCCCCATTTCGGGTTTAACTCCTGGGAAGATGGACATTCTTGTAGCAGAATGGTTAAAGAATCAAGTCGTAGCGAATGTTCATAAAAAATCGAAAGAATCATTACAGACCAAACAAGCAGCGAAAAGATCCGAAGAATGTTATCCTGGGGAATAAGGTTGGTTCCCTTTTTTTCCTACGTGGATGGGCCAAAAGACGCAATTAAAGACGACCGACCAACTGTCTCCGGAAAGAAACTGAACTTGTCCCCCCCTCTCGCAGCGACCAATTCCCTCAACGCTGGTCGCGCAAGGTTCTTACCATGCTCAATGCTGCCATTCCATTACTCGCGGGGCGTAAGACATGCATGATGGTTTGGATAACCGGTTGAAAGGGCGATCGATGCTCCGGATCTCCATGTTGGGGAAAAGGAAAGGAAAGGAAATCTCCTTCGGCGCAAATGTCCTCCATGGCCTCAGGCTCATCATCATCCATCACCAGTATGTAGAGTAGTAGGAGTATCCAGACATCGCCAGCGCAGAATGCCGGAGAAACAACCAGACCATCATCATCACCACCACCAAAGAAAAAGCAAAGGAAATACTACTTGACGGAACAGCATGCAATGGAATGAGGGGAGGGCAATCCACCACACCCAACCATCGCTACCGGGGGATGGAGACGAGAACTGATTGAGATTAATTGGGCCAGGATTGCTGCAACGACACAGAGCCAACAAGCCGACGACCAACAACGCCCAATTGTTGCCTCGTTTCATGATCTGCGCCTGTCCAGACTCGTCCTTTTACCCCTCCTCGGAAAACGGTGGGCTACGTAAGGATCCCCGTCTTTCCTTCACCAACTTTCGGGCAGGCACAAGAACTTAGTATTCGTTTGCGACCAGACTGACTGACAGCTAAGATATTCTCCTCATCATCATCTAACTTAGCACCTCCAATCCTATGGACAGTCGTTTGGCTTCCTGTCCCGCGGGTCCCTAAAGCACATCTGCCAGGCCGGCCATTCCCATGTCTGCAAGGTCCAGTGCAACTTCGCAGCGGCCTGTGAACTAAACCTTCGGAGGGTTCCTTTAACTTCCAATCCGCTGTTTAACCATGTCTTGCGCGTTGTACTGGGTCTCTACATAATCCCTTCCTGGCCCCAAGCGATCAAATGAGAATGACTGAAGAACAACCAACTGGCGCAACAATGCCGTTAGCCGGGTGGGGGGAAACCAACTGGAAGGAGACTGCATTCCGCAGGGAAGCTAAATGAGAATGACAATAATGGGATCATATATATATATATATATCTACTGCAAGATATAGGCTCTGTCTCTTCTTTCTCTTGTGTTTGTCAAAAGTAATAATCTTCAGTTTAAACTGAACACAATCCGGTCTCTTGCGATCACTCCAATTGTAGAGTTTGGAAGTGTTCCTTATTGAGGCACTCAAAGCGGGGCCTGCTCCAGAGTCAATAACCAGTCCGGCCGGTGCTTCAATAGTCATCATAATTTTGCCCATTTATGTTAACTAACTAACTGGCTTTGCTATTGTTGTTGGTCAGCCGCCAGGCCAAACACACACCGAAACTTTGCGTATCTTCAATAGTCCGCTTTCACCGTTCGGAGGTCCGCGACACCTCAAATGGCGGCTGGTCGCCAGCAAATCCAGTGTTCATCCTTTCCATCTTCTCTCACTTCCTCTACAATGCACAATGGATCACAGAATCAATCAGAGTGAATTTTGCGACCATCGCATAACACATGCCACCAGTACTGGCTGTTTCACTGATGGCAAACTGGGTGGAGGTCGGACTTTTTCGCACACGACCATCGACAAACCCGCTCTCATGAATCCCGCCGCCTCATGATAGGTACCGCCGGATCCGCGTCCCACAATGGGGGGAAACTTGTGGCTTCCTGGCGAGGTTGGCATTTTGCGCGGGTGTAAACGGGATCCAAAGATCAGTCCAATGTAAGTGCCAGTTAGAAAACCCGCAAAAAAGCCAGGCCAAAGATACAAACTGTAAGCCTACAGGAAACATGGAATCCTCAAGTCATTGACGGGTTTGCGATTATCATGGCCCGTCATCATTGGCATGACCAGATTCCAGCTGGAATCTCGACCCGAATGGCCCATCCACTCCATCCTGGTCGAGACGTTTCGCTCAAAGACAATCAGTGCCCTGCCATGCGACACCGGTGAGCGTGGTTAATAGTGCGATGGGAGGTCCTGGATAATCGGCTTGGTCGCAAGCTGAATTCAGCATTCCGGTTGCTCCAACCTCCGCTTCAAGCGTCAAATCCCGGAGCAAAGATGGCAGCTCTCCCGCCCGTTCGGGATCACGTGAACTCGCGTTGGGTGAAGGCCGGCTTCGTTGTGGCCCGGCGCGTCTAGGACCTGGGGGATTATCTACCATAATTGTCCACCACAACCGTAAGTATAAGCAGGAAATGCTGTCGTTTTAGAATCGCAAAATAGTCTGCGATATAAAGTGCTTTTTATCACCAGTTATAGCTGGGTTTGGAAGAGACAGATGGGCAGTAAAGGAATTGATGTGCTGGTGGGAAGACGCGTTAGATGATGTCACCCGCTCGGGGGAGCAAGCAAACAGCGCAAACAGCGGCTGACCTAAGCATGCCATAGCAACCCCCGAAGCGGACTAGCGCGGGTGTTGTTGACGGTAACCAAGTAAGGAAGTGACCGTTTCGGGCAATGCTGGTGGTTGCCCTTGAGATTCAGTTCAAACTCAACTTTTGTTTGTCCTGCCCTTTCTTCGTTGCTGGTCGCCCTGTCTTTGTCAATGTATTGGTGTTAGTCGTCGTCTTTCAACCAACCTCCTCCCTCTCGTGGCAGCCAACCTTAACACTCAAACCTGGTCGAACTGGCGCTATCGCTCGAGCCCTTGGCGCGGTCTTGTGTTTGTTTGGGGTCGCATTTTTAGTATAACTTTAGCTGCGACGACCAACTCCTGCGCAGGGCGCAGAGAAGTAAACAACCACCCACCCTTCCCCAAGCTCCCCCAAACACGGTTCTCGAGGCTTCAGCGTATTGCCTCTCTTCATCCAAGATGGATGCAAAGGTACGTTATCTTCCATTGCATGTTCTTCCTACCTGTCAGCCGTCCAATCGGCTTATAAACATGGCATGCATGTTCACGGTGCTGCACGCGCACTGAGGACTTAGCCTCCGAATATCCCTTCACCAATGTCGCGACTTAGTTAATTACACTGAGCTGACGAGATTTACGGCATTAGCCCCAGAGAATTCGCGTCCGTGGTGACGAGAATGCCCCCTTCCCTCTCGCAGCCAACAAGACCCTCACGCAGAAAAACAAATCCACGCCTGCCTTGTCCACCATGTTCCAGAACGGCGCTAACAAAGGTGCGGCCAAGCGGGCTGCTTTTGGCGATGTCAGCAACACGGCCAAACCAATTGCCGGTCGCGATGATATCTCCCTGGCGGGCAAGAAGCAGACCAAAGGGGCAGAGAAGGCGGCGTTGATCGTCGAGAAGAAGGCCAGCCTGGCGCAGCCAGCTCAGCGGCCCATGTCAATGGCTGGTATGAAAGGCCTCTTGAACAACGTTCCCAACGCCAAACCCATTGAACCTTCCAAGCAAATCGCCTTGCAGCAGCAAACTGCAAATGCCAGAAAGATCTTAAACAAGCGGGCTACAGTATTCAAAGACGCGTCGGAACCGTCGAACAACAAATGCGAAATTACATCCAAGGAAACCAACACCGAAATCGAGGAAGGGGACAACAAGGCATCCCTTGCACAGGCGCCCGCAGCTGCGAAGCGGACCACTACGAAGGAGGAAGCTACACGCGAAGAACCGAAGCCAGTCCTGGAAGACGCCGAAGAGCATTCCATTGTGGACTCTGAGGTGGACGAGGCAGAGAAGGCTTTGCTGGAGGTTGATGATGATCATTGCAAGGTCCAAGATCATAGCGAGGATCCCAAGCCCCGCGAGCTTCCCGCTGCGCCAGAGGTTCCTGAACCTAACCGTGTCGCGAAGGCTCATCGTGACTCTGCCTCGACCTCGCATGCACCAGCACAGTCGGAGCCAGAGGATTGGGATGAAGAGGACGAGCATGAGGAGGAAGATGGGTATATCACTGCTCGCTCCTACCGCTCTCGCGGCGAAAATACCACTGGGGGTGCCACCACCGTGCTTTTCCCCAAATTCACCCAGCAAGTCCGACGCGAACTAGCTCTCGCGGAGCAGGTCGTGGAGGCCACACGGACTGAGGAAGACATTGAAGATGAATGGTACGATACAAGCATGGTTGCTGAGTACAGCGAGGAGATTTTCGAATACATGAGAGAACAAGAAGTACGTACTAAGTCTGGAGAAACCTGATCCGATGAAGTTAGATACTTACATGGCCTACAGATCAAGATGCTACCCAATGCTCACTATATGGATAACCAAGCCGAGATCCAATGGTCTATGCGGTCTGTGCTTATGGACTGGGTCGTGCAGGTCCACTATCGGTTCTCTTTGCTTCCCGAGACCCTCTTTCTGTGTGTCAACTACATCGACCGCTTTCTTTCTTGCAAGATCGTGTCCCTGGGCAAACTTCAGCTTGTGGGTGCCACTGCCATCTTCATCGCCGCCAAGTATGAGGAGATCAACTGCCCGTCCGTGCAGGAAATTGTCTACATGGTAGATGGAGGATATTCCATGGACGAGATCCTCAAAGCTGAGCGTTTCATGTTGAGCATGTTGCAATTCGAGCTGGGATGGCCTGGCCCGATGAGTTTCCTGCGGAGGATCAGCAAGGCCGACGACTACGACTTGGAGACGCGCACTCTTGCCAAGTACTTCTTGGAGATCACCGTCATGGATGAGCGTTTTGTTGGAAGCCCCGCGAGCTTCGTTGCCGCTGGCGCTCACTGTCTGGCCAGGCTCATGCTGCGGAAGGGAACCTGGGTATGTCCTTGACCTGCTGGAATTCGAACGAAGCCGTTCTAATGTGTTTACAGACTCCCGCCCACGCCCACTATGCCGGATACACTTACACGCAGCTTCTCCCACTCATTTCTCTCATGGTGGAATGCTGCGAGAACCCTCGCAAGCACCACGGCTCTATCTACGAAAAGTTTTCTGACAAACGCTACAAGCGCGCTTCTCTGTTCGTCGAGAACGAGATGAGAAAGGGATTCATTGTCCCAGAGCAGGCCAGAGATAGCTCTTATTCCGATCGCAACGCATCAACTGAACCAGCGCCCTACTGGAAGCGCGCATAGCTTCTTATTTAGTCACTCACGCTGATTCCCTCGACCTCTTCTAACCGCTACTACTTACAGAAAACTCAACTTAACGTCGTCGTTTATTTCTGCATATAGAGCATGAAAATGTCTGACACGGCGCAGGGGTTCAGGGTTTGCTGGCTACACTGACCTGCAACCCGTGCCTGTTGAAAGCTGCTAATATCTGAAAATATGAGGCGTGAGTGCGCAGAAGCTCACGTCGCCAATACCCCAGGATCAAGGTCCTCACACCCTCATTTAACTTTGTTATGATACCAAGACATGTGACGCCTATGGCCATCCATGCAAGATGTAGACCACGCAAGAAAAACCGATGCCGTGATCGGAAATCGGATGTCAGGGTGACGGAGTTCTTTTGCCTTTACTTCATTTCTTTTTTCTTTTCTTATTAATGATTTGCACGACAATTGATTCATGCAAGCAGTCCGGGTTTGGGAGTTAATGGGTCGATGGCTGTCTTTTCTTACAATCCCTCCTTTACATTTTCTTCATTTCTCTCCTATGTCGTTATGCCCTTGTGTTCTTTTACCTTTCTCGACTATCACGACTTGTCTCACGCTCCCGGCAGATTGCTGCTATCCACGGAATTTTCACGACGAACGGCGAGCTCGCCTGAGCATCGCTATAATCCATTGCCCTCTGATTTCCTTTGTTTCGTTGGAAATGACGTTTACCGTTCGTCTATTACCGCATGCATCGTTCTGTGGATTATTATCCAGGTTTATGACCCACCAGTTAATGCCATTGGATCTATCTCTTTAGCTCCAGCTTTAGAAGAACTATACATCGTAGTATCTAGGAACCCAGGCCAATAAGTAACATCAAATTCGTCATGACATTCAACAACATCTAGTAACTTTTGCATCATCTATCTCTCATCTAGCATCTAGCACCTTACTATATATCCATACCTCTACCCCAAGAAATCCTCACCAGTAGTAACCAAAACAACTCACCCAGAAAATATCATAGTATATACAAAGACACCCAATACCCCCCTCACTGATCCAACCCATTAAATTCAATCAACCTCTTCACAACCTCAACCACCTTATCCGCCGTCTTCGCCTGATCACCACCCCCGGCACCACCATTGGGCTGATCAATCCTCAACGCAATAACCTCATCCAGCATCATCCGCAACCTAGACACCAAAACACCGATCCGAGCCCATCCGCGCAGCCGTAACCATCCATCGACGATTAAGCCGCGACCTGCGGTGTCGAGGTCAATGGATCCGCAGAAGAGGAGGAGGGAGTAGGCGTTGAATGCTATATATCATCATCATATTCATGATTATTAGTATAGTTCTTTCATAGGATAAATATGTATGTAGAGTAGAGGGATAATGATGATGGAGGGGAGTAGGGAGGATGACTTACGCGTCAAATCACGAATAAACACCTTACTCGTGGCCATTTTGGTAAAGTAGCTGAGATATGCAGATGAGCTGGGATATGATTGGGCTGAGAAGCAGACGGAGGAAGGATGGATGAAGACGCGGCCGTTCTCTTGGTTGAAGTATTTGATTGTTCGTGCGTCGGGGTCGATTTCCACGGTGCCTGTGACGGAGCTGGCGAATTTCTTGTCGGGGAAGGAGATTTGCGCGATTTGAGGTTGGAAGGCGCCGGCGATTAGGGCGCGGAGGAGGGGTTTGTTGGTTGCGTTGCGGTTCCAGTGGGAGGATGATGAGGATGAGTCTGAGTCTGAGGAGGAGTAGTCGACGGGGAGGAGGCCGGCGTCTTTGAGGGAGGTGAGGAGTTGGGATTTGTTGGAGGAGATGTCGCGGAGGGTTTGGTGGGAGAGGAAGTTGGCGGAGCACCAGGATTGGGTTTGCCAGTAGCCTTGGGCGTTGACGCGGTCGGACCATTGTTGGTAGGCGAGGAGGTCAGTGAGGAGGTCGCCGTCGGCGCCTTTGGAGAAGGAGGCCTTTGCGGCGTTGGCTTCTTCGCGTTTCTCGCGTGGGGAGACGAACGGGCTCTTGACGGTTAGGATGGCGGAGATGGTGACGCAGGCGTCGATGCAGCTGAAGATGGAGCCGTAGACCATCAGCTTTGCGCAGCGGAGGTCCGCTGGGATCATGGAGAGGTAGCGACCCAGGGCGGTTAGCTTGTCGTGGTCGAGAGCGCCGACGCGGTGGAGGAAGTCGAGGGCTCCTTCGACCGCGGTGCTTTCGGGTGGGGTGATGGTGTTGGCTAGGAAGGTGGCGACGTCGTTGATGCCCTTCATGGCTTTGACGGATAGGCAGAGCTGCTCGAGGGGTACTCGACGGATTTCGGGGTCGGGACGCTGTGCCATGTTTGCCTCTGCTTTGCGTGTGTAGAGCTTGTAGCATGTACCGGCGCGGACACGACCGGCTCGACCACGTCGTTGTTTGCAGGCTGCTTGGGATGCCCATACTTCTTGCAGTCGGACGATGTTGTCGCGGGGGTCGTAGCTTGTTTCTTTGACTCGGCCGGTGTCGATGACGGCTACGATATCCTCGATTGTGATGGATGTTTCGGCGACGTTGGTTGCTGCGATGACCTTGCGCTTGCCCTTGGGAGGGCTGAGGAAGACACGCCGTTGTTCGGCTGGGAGGAGAGATGCGTGGAGGGGGAGTGGGTGGGCGTTGGGGATTCTCTTCACAGCGTTTAGGCACCGTTCGATCTCCATCGTTCCGGGGAGGAAGATTAGGATGCCTCCCGGCTGGTCGCCTAGCTGGGCGTCTATGTATCTGACTGTGGAGGCGATCAACTCGTAGTTGATGCCCATTCCGAGACTGCGGAGGACCTTGCCAAGGGACTCGTCAGCTTGGGCAGATGATACGGCGTCTTCTTCCTCGTAGTCGCGTTCAGAGAACTCAGGGTAGAACCCTGTGTCGCGGATGATATCGTCCAAGTAGTTGTCTTGCACGGGGAAGGTCCGTCCTGGAATATTAACGAATCCAACGGACTTGCTACCGCCGAAGTAGTTCATGAAGATGTCAGCATCGAGAGTGGCACTCATGAGAATGACCTTGATGTCTTTGCGATAGCGGAGGACATCTCTCAGCAAAGCCAGAAGGAAATCGGTGTCGAGACTCCGTTCGTGTACCTCATCCACCACGACGTGAGTGACATCCGCGAGGGAGCTTGCAACATTGCCGTCGGGACCGCTGCCAGATTGCATGCGACGGAGCAGAACACCAGTTGTAACGAATGTAATCTTGGTTGTGCCTGCCTTGGCCTTCGACTCGCCTCGGATGATGTATCCGACCTCATCACCAACCGACGCACATCGCTCATCGGATACGCGATCTGCGAGACCCAGGGCAGAAATTCTGCGGGGCTGGGTACAGATGATGTTGGCGGCAGCGCCAAGGTCTCGCTTGATCAGGTCATCAAGCAGGAATTGGACGGACTGGGTACTCTTTCCACTACCGGTCTCACCAGAGATGATAGTAACCTGGTACTTGTTCACGGCCTGGATGATAGCGTCCTGTGTGTTCCAGGCTGGAAGAGCTTGTCGTTTCCGAGTCATCTCTTGCTGGGCCTTGGTTGCCTGCTTCGCTTCCCAGGCTTCTCTCAGCGCAACGCTTTGCGGCGAGCCCGCCTGCCAGTTCACGTCTCTGCCCTTCTTGCGCGATTGGCGAACAGGGAGTTGAGATACAGATCCGGTGGCAGTTGGAGAAGCAGAAACTGTCGAGATATCCCTCAGACGCCCTGGATTCTCCATAACTTCCGGCAGATGGACCTCCAGCCAGTCCAGGATATTGAATATCATGGGCTCACCGAAGAAGTTCTCCTCAGAGTACTGTACCACCTGGCGTATAGCACTCAGGCGTATGTAAGCTGGAATGTCCTTGGCCAGGATAGAGATGACCGGAACGGTTGAAGGATAATGTGTAGAAGGCCTTTGGAAACGGAAGGTCAAAGATTCCGGCAATTCTGATCCCTCACTCTTAATTTCACAGACTTTAGGCGAAATTCGCTTGTACCGTTCTCCGAAGATAGCCTCCAGGGTTTCTTGCTCTTCTGCCCATAGATCCTCTTCCGCAATGGGCGAAGAGTCGACAGCAGAACTCGACCCGTGCACCAGTGTGCTTTGGAGGAACTCTGCTGCCTCAAGTTCATCACCCTTTTTGCTATCCAATGTTCGCGAGCACAGGTCAGCAGGGTAGCCGATGGAGGCAAGCCGTTTAATTTTGGCCTCCCTTGCAAGATCATCGCTGGCAAGGCTCACACCGGCGGAGTACCCTTCAGGTAGACACCAACGCGGCAGATCATCTTCCGGAACGTATATAAGAAGCCATTCCAGGACCTCCTCCCGGTCCTTGCACGTGCTCGTCGCCTCCTCAACGTGGCTGCGCCGGAAGCCCAATTGAGTAAGCTCATCGACAATAGACTTGCGTTCGCGTTCCGGTATCTCCACGTTATAAGGATTCCAAATGGCGTGCTGCCGCAGTATACCCTCGATTTCACGGCGCACTTTACCCCCAAGGTCGACCTTTGGTGCTTGCGACCAGATCTTCTTGCCCCTGTTATCACCGCTAGAGCCCAGTCCTAAGTCAACCGTCTTCTCTGCCTCCTTCGCCTGTGTCTTTTCGCGCTCTTTCCGCTTCTTCTCCAAGTCTGCAGCTGCACTTTCTCGCTCCTGCTTGGCGAGGAACGGATCTGCCTCGTACATCCATCCTTTCCCTCCCTTGGTATCTGCCGATTTGATCTCCGTAAAATCCTCTTTCCAGAGCTTCTTATAGGTGGGCGGAAGCATCATATGAATATTCTTCATGTTACAAACTCGAAATAGGGCATAAGCAGCAGCGAAATGGCGCGCCTCTAGCGCCGTTGGTTGCGCGGCGAGATGCTTGTGGGACGGAGGGGGTTTCATAGGAGGGAGTACGACAGTTTCTCGAGTCTTTGGATCGATGCGCTTCAGAATAACGGAGGATACAAAGCCCTCCGAGACTTTAATCTGTGATGCGATAGTATTGTCAGCATGACGAGCCCGTTTAAATTTTAGATATTTAGATAGACGAAGATGGGCCATCATCGGCCATACCATTGTATACTCAGGCTTCTCCCACTTCTGCTTCTGGCAGTGCTCCGCGAGCATATTGACCGGCAGCTTTCCGGTCCATGATGCGCCTCCAATAACCTCCTTGACTGAGGGTTTCTTAGGCTCCTCTGTAGAAGCCTGCGCTTTCTTCGCTGTCTCCGCCGATCGTTCGGCGGCAGCTTTGGCAGCTTTGGTCCCCGGTTTGGGGGCTCCTCCACGGGCGTCGTTCTTTTTCTTGGGGGGCATGTTTCCAAAATGACAGATAGTCTAGAGCAGACGCCCGTGGAGTAACTCAGGCCGTTGAGGAGAATCCAAAAAGGTACCTAGAGCACTCCTGATATTGAGAAGAAGCAACGGGAGTTTCTGAGACGATTCCGCGGTTGGCTTGTCCCGCACTAGGCCGCTTTGATCTTTTGGGTAGGGCTGCGGGGAGTCGCCGCTGATCGCATTGCATTGCTTCGGCCTCTCCGCATCATAAGAAAGAGCTCTGAATCTCACCTACAACAGCTCTGTACCACTCACTCATTGTACTCATCAGCCAGCAACATTACTACAATGGCTGAATCTCCTACTCTGGAGCTCGATAGCCCCACAGAACAGGATGTCGCGCCCGCAGAAGCGCAGCAGCAGCCACCCAAGCCAGCGAAAAGAGACGCCTGTACGCTCCGAACACAAAACATCAACTCACTCCTCTCCCTCCCCTTGCATACCAGATGCAGGAACCACTAACTGATCATTCTATCTCAGTTACAGAACTACTGGCTCCAAAACCTAAACATCCCAAACATGGCGATCCCAGCACCTCCAAACACATTCCTCCTACCTCTAAAAGGCGAGCCATCGGTGGCCCCCGAGACGGCCTAGGCGTCTACATCACGAAACCAGAATCCTTCCCCTCCAACGTAGTAGTATACTACGACGACGACTTCGTCGTTATCCACGACATGTTTCCCAAGGCAACCCTCCACCTCCTACTTCTCCCGCGAGATCCCCAGAAAACGCGCCTCCATCCTTTCGAAGCCTTCGAGGACGCCGAGTTCCTGGAAAAAGTGAAGAAAGAAACGCAGAAGCTCCGCAAACTCGCGGCTGGAGAGCTCAGACGAATACACGGGAAATACTCGGCGCAGGATAAGGAAAGGCAAGAGGCGCTTAATGTAGAACCGCCGCTGGAGGAGCTGCCGCCGGGGAGAAACTGGGAGCAGGAGATCATGTGTGGGATTCATGCGCATCCATCCATGAATCACTTGCATGTGCATGTTATCTCCGTGGATCGGTTCAGCGATCGTCTAAAGCATAGGAAGCATTACAATAGCTTTTCTACACCGTTTTTCGTCAATATTGATGATTTTCCGCTCGCGCCAGATGATGTGCGGAGGCACCCGGATGAACAAGGCTACTTGCGGAGGGATTTTGTCTGTTGGCGCTGTGGGAAGCAATTCGGAAACAAATTCGCCGAGCTGAAGCTACATTTGAAGGAGGAATTTGATGCATGGAGAAAGCTGTGAGGCGCAGGGGCTGCCCGCATGCATGCAGGACGGTATAAGCGACTGGGAGCTAGAGGCACGTTCTGCCATGTTTGGTTGAGCTTCAATTGACACCTGATGGAGTGATGCGGGGAACCGACGATGCGGTCCCCCTGGCTGATTGCGTGAGCTTCGATTATGAATATCAATTTGAAGTAAATGTACACGCAAATCCAAGGCAGCAATAACTCTCGGTGGGGCCACATTTTCAGTGACCCTTTCCCAAGTCCGCTAGCCATACTCCGGAGTCGCTGAGAGAACCAACCAAGGTTCCCTCCGACTCCAAGCCCTTCCCAAAATCTCCTCACAAATCACCCATCGACTCAGCACTGCAAGGGCCATTTAGGCACGGTTCTTAGACTTGGCGCCACCCTTGACCTTCCTGGCCTCAGGACGGTTGATGTGGTGAGCGGGGATCCACTCGGCATTGTAGGTAGTAGCAGACGAGACAGCGGGGCTGCTGGGAGCCTCAACGGGGACCTCCTTCTTGGAGGCACCAGCGGACTTCTTGTACTCGGGACCCTTAGCAGCACGGCGCTTCTGGGGGAAGTAGGGAGCGATCCAGACGGTGTAGAAGAAGTAGACGACGCCAGAGAAGCAAGCCAGGAGGAAAAAGTACAGGAAGAGGCTGATAATAATCGGGTTAGCTTGGCCTATGGACGAGCAGTGAGAATGTGCCTTACATCTGAGGGTCGAAGATGCTGGTCTCCGGCTCAACGACGCTGACAGTGCCGTTGTAGGCGTACAGAGTGAAGAGGTTGCCATTGGTATCAGAGATGACGGAAGCGAGAGTGAGCAGCAAATCCTGGGGGTGCATTTCGGTGGCGAAGCTGTAGCTGACGCTCTCCTGCTGACCGGCCGGGATCTCAACGCTGTAACGGTGCGCAGTCAGGTTGCGAACAATCTGGCTGCTTTCTCCTTCAACTGCCGACAAGGAACCTCCAATGAAGTTCACAGTCACAGGAACTTCATCCTCATTGGCGAAAGTGATCAGCGCTTCAGTCGGGTAGCCATTGACAAGCTTGACACCGAAGATCTCCTCGGAGGCAGGGAAGGAGGCGTGGGCCGTGACAGAAAGCAATTGGGTTTCAGGGAGATCATCCTTCTCAGCAGCATCCTGATAAGATACGACATCGCGTCAGCAACTCAATTGACTGTAAAACGATAAGAGTCACGCGAGTGGGAACATACCGCCGCGAGACTGCCGCCAATCAAGGCCTGGACAGAAAGGAGAGCCAGGGACAAGAAACCAAAGCGACCCATTGTGAATGAACCGGGAGTTGGGGACGAGAAGAGAAAGGGTGAGGGTGAGGAGAGGGGGGAAAGGGTGGGGAAGAGAAAGATCGAAGAGGCGATCGGACCAGAGATGGATGGAGGAAGAAGAGAGGGAGAAGTAAGTAAGAGGGAGAGGAGAAGCAGCAAGAAAGAGAGGAAGGGGAAACGGGCAATTTCTCCACGTAGCCTCAATACTGCCTCAGGTTGGCTGGGATGGTTCCCCATGCGGCGGGCTGACTCAGCCCCAGCTCTCCCCGGCCGGCGGCTCGTGACTGGTTGGCGCCTCATGCGGCTGTTTTGATGGTGACTTGCTCTAGGCTTGTGCCAGTCCAGTTCACTGGTCTCTGTAGATCTCGCACATTCTTCGTGATTGTACAGTAAATTCACTCCCGATAGTATTGACTTCCCCGCTGTCTGCCCAATCTGCTATTCTCTTTGGCTCCATAATCTCGATCGTCGCCGTTTCAGCCGCCTACCATCAACCCTTCCCCGTTCTCGGTGCTTCTATAGCCTGGCGCTTCCCAAGACCTCTCTCTCACTTGCTATCCCTCTTAAACCATTAGTGCCCAAACCTTACCTAGTCCATCATGACAGCCCCGGAATATCTCGAGCGATATAAACAGCTGGCTTCTATAGAACAAGATAAGAATATCCTAATCGAGGTAGCCGCTCAGCATCACAGTATCAAGTGCTCCATGTTGACGTTACACTCCCTGCACCTAGGAACTTTTGCAGCGTGTGACAGAGCTGGAGGCTGCCTTCCAGCAAGAGAAACTCGATCATGAACGTGAAATGCGGTTTAATCGTGATATCCAGCTTCATGAAATGGAGTTAATGCAGCATATCGCGAGGATCAAGGCCATTATGGTGGGAGCTTCATAGTTCTACAGCTTGGTCTGTGCTAATGATGCCCGTCCGCTTTTAGGACCGCGAGCCCTTTATAGTCGTGCTACTAGATGGAACTGGCATCATCTTCAAGGACGAGTTCCTACAAAGGGGAGAAGAAGGTGGCAAAGTTGCAGCTAATAAGCTTGCTATCGCCCTGAAAGACTATGTTGCCAGCAATTTCCCGGGCCTTGATAATCCAAAAATAATCACGAGGATGTACGTTAACTTGAAAGGTCTGAGTGAGATGTGTGTCCGAGGCGTCATTAGCACCGACCCATCATCGATCGAGGGCTTTGCTAAGGGCTTCAACAATGGCCATCCACTGTTCGACCTTGTGGATACTGGACTAGACAACGCACATGACAAGATCGCAGGTACGCATCAAGACTTCCTTGTCCAAGATACTTACATTGGTATGTTACTCAGGACGATGCGCTGACCTGCTGTCCGCCATCTCTAGAGGCCTTCAGAGTCAACCTATATAACTGCCATTGTCATCAAATCTTCTTAGGATGCGCCGACACCAACGCATATGCCCAGATTTTGGTGGACATAATGGAAGACATTGACCTGGTAGGAAGAGTAACCTTGATCGAAGGCATCACCTTTGAAAAGGATCTGGCCAAGATCAAGGCCGCATACAGAGTCTCTCAGTTCCCGGAAATCCTCCGAAATACAAAAATAACACCTGTCTGGGCCCCGTGGAAAGCCGCAGTAGCGTCCAAACCTCCTCCAGCTCTCACTCCATCGCCGAAACCAGGCGCAGTGCCACTGTCACGAACCTCAACCAGCACGTCAACGAACGCCAGTACGTCGATGTCTTCCACTTCTGCCAGGCCATCAACTCCTGGGGAATTCCAAGTGGTGCAATCGAAATCAGTTATGTCCGCACGACCCAAGATCGTTGAACGAAACAAGTACGGTCAACGTGTAGACCGCGTTGACTTTAAAAGCATCCCGCGAGAAGAGATGAATCGCCTGAAGAAACTAAAATTATGCAACCTTCATTACCTCCTAGGAGAATGCACAATTGACAACTGTCAGCATGACCACTCGCGCAAGTTGACCAAAAGTGAACTTTCAGTTTTAACCGCCATCGCCCGCATGACACCCTGCCGATATGGACTAGATTGCGATGACCCGGAATGTACATATGGGCATCGGTGCCCTCACACAGAGCCCGGGAAAAAAGATTGTTACTGGGGTTCAAATTGTCGATTTGATCCTGCCGCGCACGGCATCGACACCAATATTGTTAAGTTAACCAAGGTCTAATACCAGGGGGTGTAATAATTGGGGAAGCGAGCTCCATTTTTACTTTCAAGTTTGCAGCGTGAAACAGGACCTGCATTGCTCTAGCACAAAAGTTGTATTTTCATTTGGCCTTTGTAATGGCTTCGCGCAGATAAGATTGGACTTTTTTCTTCCACAAGTTTTTGGCCCATCAACACCAAGATCCCTGTTTGCTGGCGTGCTTCCTACACTTGATTTTCTACTATCTTGCGCATGGTACATATCTTGATGGATATCCCTAAATTCGGTACTCAATCTGTGAAATTTTCTATCAATATGACATTTTCGCCAATCTCTCACCCGCTAACTATATGCAATTCATTCTATATCTTCGTCGTAGTACTACCATCTTCGGGCTCTCGTATTTGATATTATACAATACTTCAGCTCCTGTACATTACTTATTCGATGGAAGTACTATCACATCATTCTTGTTTCGCATACCCGAAACCGTGTCCCTGAGACTCACGCCCTTAGATAACCCTAGCACCAAAAAGCAAAACAAAGTACCCTATGTAAACAACAGCAAAACACGCCGTTATTCCAAGAAAGCAGTCTTGCAAAAATGCATTATGAAATTGTAGTCATGAACATAGCAAAGCGCCTCTCCCAGCCAAAGCAGTCGTCATGGCTACAGCCATTCTCGTCATCTTCGTTATTAATGGTGGTGTTCTCCGTATCAGGACGATGTCTACAAAGGACACCATACTCTTGAATGCAACAGTTGAAAGGTCTGCATGAAACTGGGCCTATGTCTTGCTTTCCATCGTGCAGGGCCGCTCTCTTGCGCTCCTCGAGATCGCCCCATAGGATGAAGAGCTTTTCTCGGAGTTCTTTTAGGTCGTGTTGGTTTCGTCTTAGACTAATGGACGTAGCAAGATTCAAAGTTAGAGGATCGGTCTCACGAGAATTTCATACTTTATATCAATTATGCAAGGGGTGATCGGCAACACTTACTCGACTGCAGTTAATCCCAATAGATACTCCGCGTCCGGGCCAGCTACAAATAACCTCATCTGTTCTTTCGCTTGGCCTGCGGGTGGAGGAGGGACGCTTTCGACGAGCAGACAAAAGCGCCATTCCCATCTAATGAACCGGTCGGGATCTCTCTGGGAGGTTCCCTCGCCGGAGGAGTCTTCGGGGACGGAGAAGTCTTCCAGTCGTGGGGGGAAGAAATCGACCACACGAACTGTGGTTCGGTAGCAGAAATTCTGGAAAGGGAAGCGGTACTGTATGTTGTCATATGAGATGTTGTCATGGAGTTTGTTGGAGAGGATCGCTTCAAGGGACATTGTAGGGACAGACGGATTGCCTGCTATGACTATCATAGACTGTCAATCAATTGTACGATACCATAGTGGCTATTAAGCAGACAGCATGACTCACTGTTCTCATTTGGTGCATATCGCTTGCTGCTTGCTGCTGTTATGGGAACTTGGCCTTCTTCCACCTTTTCGGCTTTCTTTCGCTGTTTCTTAGTGCTTCTCTTGGGAACTTGCTGGGCTTCGTTTTCCGCTTCCCGCTTCCGAGGATTCGCTTTCCAGTAATCCGTCCTACGCTGTAAGAATTGCTCGACAAATGTATCTTTGCGGCGGTCCAAGGTATGTACATTCACTGAATTTGGATTCGTGCGGTTTGTGTGAACACTGGCCTCTAAGATCCCATTGATGCGACTGCGCTTGACATGCACATTGTATAGCTGGATGAGATCGTTATTCTTTAGGTGTTGGCGTGCATACGCTGCATGGGGTTCCCAGAGGGTGATTGTGAGGGTCATTCGTCCAGCAGGTCCTGTCCATTTCTTCTTGGGTCTTTTTTGATATCCGTAGACATCTCCTTCAGTGCCAAAGCCATTGTCACCGGCATCTTCTATTTGGCGGTCTTCGAGACCATCGTTGGCCGTGTAATCGGTGAAATAGAGGACGACCTTTTCACTGTCGTTGGTATAGATCTTGACAATTTCCCCAACGAGGTCAACATAATTTCGCTCTACAATATCCTTGACAAGTGAGAGCTTCTTGTGCGGATAAGGCTTGGAATTTGGAATTGCAGCCTGGACAAGATAGGTGCCACGCGGAGTATCCTGCGCCGGGGCTTTGCGGAAGCCATCGACCGCAGGGAGGCTATTCATCAAGTTTAGAGCATGTATCTTCTCCGAAGGTGATGGCTCAAAGTGTGTAGGGCCACAAAGGGGTGCAGGACTAGACGTGGGATCCGGGTCCAAGCGAAAGATTGCCCAGGGTACTTCTCTGTCCTGGGCAGCGACTCCCAGCGGGTCTCCTTTGAAATTTCTTAACTGCAGTCAAAGGGTCAGTCTGTCGCCGATGAAGTGGTCAAGTCATGCCTCACGAACCCACAGATCTCGTATCAGTATCACATCGCGTACTTGGACGGGAGGTAGATGGCTCTCATTGTCTTTGAAATATTTGATTTTCAACCCGTCCCATGTATGTCCATTGTCAAGACCTGAGTCCTTGATGGTAAAGGTGATACAGCTGGACGAGCCTCTAGACTTCCATATTCCACCGAAGACGTCGACTACGACGCCAATGACACTTACTCTGCCCTGCGCAGAGAGCGCAGTGGACACATCCACGAAGCGAGACATGGTGTGGAAATTACGTTATGTCGCACAATTCATATTGGAGCCACGGTAGAACAGAGCCTGATGCATATACTGCATTCACTGTAGGACTGGAACGCTGCGAGTTCGGATCTCCTTAGCTGTTAATATAGATAAATAAGTTACTAGAAGTAGTATTGTTGATCGAACCGCGAATAGATCGACGCGGGACCGAGTGGAGCAGTCAGTAGTAATACACGTAAACAACGCATCCACCAGAATGGCCCGAATTAGAAATGGCTAGCAAGACAGCCGGTTTCCAGAACAGCGTCAGAAGGTTTCTCGATGACCACTGATCCAATATAGATAAAGGAACAAGCAGACGCGATTGTCAGGCAAAGAAATGAGACGAACCGG